TTTGTGAGTGCAGTCTGCGAACGTACAGCAGGGTCATCCCTAGCATGCGTGCGCGGATTACCACAATGGTGCTGATGGGTGTCATAATAGGGGGTGCATGCGCAGTAACGCTAATATTGTTGTGGATGGCACACGGCTCCATGATCACCTTCCTGCCTGCCCTGGTGGCCCTTTAAACCGTTTAGAACGCTTGGGAGGTTGGGATGGATTGGCAGTCACATGATCAGAAGCCCATCCTGCTGGCTACCAATCTGTAGCCCTGACTGAGAGCCGTCTGTGCTGTGGGTGTGCCACCAGCGATGCATAACGTGCAGTGTGCAGGTATTAAACCCGCCATTTTGCTACCACACTTGTGTCCAGTGGTAATAAAGGGGTTAAAATGGCAGCGGTATCACCGTTGGTAGCAGCAGGTAGGTGATAACATTTCACCACAGTGTAAGCTCCAGGTATCGGCACCATTTTGGGTTAGACCCAATAGTACTGCACACTTCCTGTGTCGTAGGTGGCCAGTATTTGTGTCATTCCAGGTTAAGCCAAGGGCTCTACTATGCATGTGTTGTAGTGGAGCCGTTTTAAAGTAGAACTGAACATTGGTAATAGGCAACATCTAGAAATGTCAATTGTGCCTAAGTAGTACCCTTTGTCTGGAATTCTGGAAATGAGAGTGCACTTTCTGGTATGTGAGGGTGCCTAGGCACTCCTGTATCGTCGACCTCCTTGCTGTACATCTGTGTTAGATCTCAGGCACTACTGCCTCTGACTGATCTCAGGAGATTAGAAATGACACATGGTGATGCTATTGCACTTTTGCTCACTGTTTTTCTTGCTGGAGGCTCCTGTTATGAGAAAGCAAAGCCCTGCTTTTACCAGGATGGTCACCTCTACACAGTGCTCTTTTGCTTACTATTTTCCTTGCTGGAAGTTCTGATATGAGGAAACAAAGACCTGCCTATACCAAGATGACAGCCTCCATACAGAGGCACTGTTCTCCTTGCTGGAGGCTGTGACATAAAGAAACAAAGCCCTGCCTTTACCAAGATGGTGGTCTCCATACAGAGCTCTTTTGCCCAATGTTCTCCTTGCTGGAGGCAGTGACATGGGGAAGCAAAGCCCTGCCTCTACCAAGATGGTGGTCTACATACAGCATACAGAGACACAGAGCTCTTTTGCTCACTGTTTTCCCTGCTGGAGGCTGTGACATGAGGAAGCAAAGCCCTGCCTTTACCAAGATGGTGGCTTCCATACACAGGTACAGAGCTCTTTTGCTTGCTGTTTTCCTTGCTGGAGGCTGTGACATGAGGAAGCAAAGCCCTGCCTCTGCCAAGTTGGTGGCCTCCATACAGAGGCACAGCTCTTTTGCTCACTGTTTTCCTTGTTGGAGGATGTGACACGAGGAAGCAAAGCCCTGCCTTTACCAAGATGGTGGCTTCCATACAGTGACACAGAACTCTTTTTTTGCTGTTTTCCTTGCTGGAGGCTGGGAAATGAGGAAGCAAAGCCCTGCCTCTACCAAGATGGTGGCCTCCGTACAGCGACGCAGAGTTCTTTTGCTCACTGTTTTCTCTGCTGGAGGCTGTGACATGAGGAAGCAAAGCCCTGCCTTTACCAAGATGGTGGCTTCCATACAGAGGTACAGAGCTCTTTTGCTTGCCGTTTTCCTTGCTGGAGGCTGTGACATGAGGAAGCAAAACCCTGCCTCTGCCAAAATGATGGCCTGCATACAAAGGCACAGAGCTCTTTTGCTCATTGTTTTCCTTGTTGGAGGCTGTGACATAAGGAAGCAAAGCTCTGCTCCTACCAAGATCAGCTTGCAGCGTTCCGTCCCCCAATATTGGAGCCAAGCACCATGCACAGCAGCAATATTACATTGCATGTGCTTTCCTGTGAATTGAAAGGCCACTGTTGCCAGGGATGTCAAAATATGGTGGCATCCAAAACAGCCATCACCATCTTCTTAAGATGTAAGAAGATTTTCCTCTGTATAGTTCACATGACTTCCCTACCACTCAGCTGCATATGTGGTGACAAAGCTTTAAAGGGTTAGTCCACCTTTTCTTGAAAAATGAATAAGTGAACTAACTCTCAGTATCCTGGCCACCCTTCAAGATTCTGCTACCCATGCCCCATGTTGCCGTTGTAGCGGTCTGTACACTGCAATACGCAGCCTTGGAGTGAGTATCCATCATAATGCATGCAATGGCAAGTCTTCATTGGTCAGCATGTGACCCTGCTGACCAATGAGAAGTGCATCTGAGGCTGCTTCTTCTGGTAAGGTTTTCCAGAAGATAGAAAAGCCACCAATTGGGCAACACAGTCACCTGGTCATAATGACCAATGAGTGCTTGCCATTGCTAACTTAATGATGGATGCTCACTCTAGGTCTGTGCACTCCGGTGGCATTACGGCCGCTATGTGCAGCAGGCTCCCGGGGGTGGCCAGGATATTTGGAGGTAGCCCATATTTTCATTTTTTTTTTTTTTTTTGAAGACGTGAACTTACCCTTTAAAGCAGCACATGCACTGTACATGGGTTCTTCTGTTTTTTTTTTTTTTTTTTTTTTTGTCACTGTATGTATTGGTTTTGCACAGTTTATGATCCATATCATCAATGTATAGAATCGGTGGGGTCTACAGCTATTGTTACAGTAAGAATGTATACATTGGATGTGCTAGATCACTGGTATAACTGTGTGAATGTAAACATTGTAGGTGTCTCTTCCTAGCAGAATGCTCTGGAAATAAAGGCTGACATCTATATTTTGATTACGTGCTGGTGTCTCTGGTGACATGTGTCTTTCTGTCCCTGCACCCCTGTCCCTGTCAATCATTGAGACACAGAGAGACTCCTTCTCAATGCGGTGGCACCCTCTGGAGTTTAGATTTGAATGAGCTCCTTGTGCATATGATCAGCAAGCGGCTTTGCAGAGGTTTTTTTTGTTTCCCAAATGTAACAGAATAGTTGGTAAGGACATTGTTTAAAGGCCACCTTTTTGTTTAAAAAAAAAAAAAAAAAAAACGCAAAAAAACTAAAAAAAAAAAGTGCTTTTTTTCTTTTTTTTTTTTCTTTTTGCCAACGAGCCTGCAAAGAATTGCAACCACGATCAGTGGATCACGGGTGCAGTGCACAGGCTCCGGACATTCGCTCTGGTTGTCAATGTGTATTGCTACATGTCAAGGATTGAGTTTGGGGCCCAGGGGAGGGGTGACATGCATGGCCCAATGAGCCTGTAAGGGATTACCTCCTAAAGAGATTACGGGAAATATTTTACTGTCTGAGCTTGGTTAGATTACTGTTGTCATTAAAGGCCCTTTAATCTATGTTTACCATAGCCATGAGATGAGTTTTTCCATCCTGCTTTGACCATCAGGGGATACAATCAACCAGACAGGTTAGTGCACCTTGTATGATCGCTAATGTAACCTCACAGATAAGCCTGTCCGCACGCTATCTGCATTGACATGAACTGGTATGTGCTGCCAAGTGGAGGATGTCTGTTTATGGAGTTTTATCGGAGGGAGGTCTGATGATGCTTGCACATCCAGCTATTCTCAAGTCTCTGTCCATTCTAAACGGACAAGAATCCGGGGATGATCTTATGTCTGTGAGCTCTGCCAGACACCCCAACTGACAAATCACAGGGGAAATAGATGTCGTGTTCTTCCTGATCAGCCAGCAGCAGGGTCCTCTCCCTATCCTATATTATAGAAATGTATGCCTAGATGATCCAGGTGTGCAAATTTATGAACATTCAGTGTTTCATTATAGCTGCACATCTGACTGCTGTCTATTATCTATGGACCCCCACCCCACCAGTACTTCAAATTCTGACAGGTACATCCGCCGCTATCAAAATACACTGATCTGCGGCTTGCAAAAAATGTTCCAAAATGTCCTTTTCGACAGAAATAGATCAAACGATCGACTACTGTCACACTCTGTGATTGAAATTCGTCCGGTCCCTGCTTTTGGATGGCAATGCACTGACCTGTATATTAGAGCCAGATACATAATAGATTCTAGCATTGCATGTAACAGACGACCCAGGCAGGATAAAGCAGGGAGTGTAATGATTGCTGTGAACATTGGGAACACTTATTAAAGATTTCCAGAAATGCCATTACCACTTGCATCCTTTTTGGTGCCAGAAATTGAGAAAAAAATTGTGCTGATAACCTGTAACCAAATGTAATATTCAGCAGTCATGTCTCTCTTGTGTTTCCACACTACATATATTGCAGATGTTAGGGTACCAAAAGTCTCTACGATTGATTCACTAAAGAAGTGTGACCTGCACCGCACCATTTATAATAATCCCACAGTTAACCGGCCTTTATCATGGAAGAAGACACTATTATTTACTGGCTTCCGATTGCGCAACGGATCAAATTCAAAATCCTAACGCTGACGTACAAAGCTGTCCACCATACTGCCCCGAACTACATCACTGACCTAATATCCAAGTACCGCCCAACACGCACACTCCGCTCCTCACAAGACCTCCTTCTCTCTAGTTCCCTGGTCTCCTCCTCCCATGCCCGCCTCCAGGACTTCTCCAGGGTGTCACCCATCCTCTGGAACTCCCTGCCCCAACCCAACAGATTATCACCTACTCTCCTCTCCTTTAGGTGCACCCTGAAAACCCATCTCTTCAGGGAAGCCTACCCCACCCCCTGCTAATTCCTGACCTCCTCCACTCTTCCTACCACTCCATCCCCCACAGCTATCTCCTCCTGTGCCACCATCCCCTCCCTCCTAGATTGTAAGCTCGAAAGAGCAGGGCCCTCAATCCCCTCATGTTTTGCATTGTATTGGTATTGTTCTGTCACATTTTCTGTCCCCCTTTGTAATGTACAGCGCTGAGCGAACTATTGGCGCTTTATAAATACTGTATAATAATAATTTAAAATCTATCACACATTTGCACCCAGTATTCTAGGCTAAAGGAAATAAGTTACTACAGTAATTGCACAAATCAATATAATAATGGCTTCCCCTCCCCTCTGTAGAATGCATTCGGCAAAGATGATGTTCCGCCTGTTGGCGGCTGTCCTCCTCCTCCTGCTGGTGACCACCTCCAGTGCCAAGTTCCAAGAGTTTGATGATGGCGATGATGTGACAGAATATGATGACAACGATTTTGCTGAGTTTGAGGATGCTCCAGAGGAGTCGGCCACTGTCCACCCTCCCCAGCAGGGGCCGCCGGAAGAAGAAGAGAGAGGAGGAGGAGGATGATGAAGAGGCCACGGTAGAAGTGGAAGGGCAGGAAGAATTTGAATTGGATGCAGAGGGACAAGTAAGATGTTTTACGGCTTCATCACAGCACAGTGTTTGTTTTTTTTCTGCTAGGAGAGCCTGTCAACTGCACAGAACAGGCAGTTGTTGTGTCACAACAGTGTAACTGGATTTACTAACACAATGGCTTTTATAGACCACACCAGCATTTCTCAACCAGGGTGCCATGAAGTTTCTTCAGGGGTGCCTTGGAAAATGTCTAAAAATTGTCCAAAACTTGTATACAAGATAAATCTGAAGCTTCCAGAAGAACACACCAGTAAAGGCTCCCCTTCTCCCTTTGATACACATATGCCCCTATCTGGAGCAATAACCATCTTAAGGGCACTTTGAGATTTATCTTGGGAAGAGCCTAGAATTGGGAATCCATTCATTATTCATTTGCCCAGGGTCATGTGACCATCTATTTGGGAATCTATATCCTCTGTTCCTTGGAGAGCCATCCACATAAAGGAAACTAGGAGTTCCATCCTATGAGAGCCTACAGTTGTTTGACCGTAGACCTCTATTTGACCACCTTAACAGGGGTCAATAATTTGTGGTGAATGAGGAATTCATCTGTTGCACTCACGTGGTGGAAAAGAAATTCTTTTGTACTCCGGGATACTCTCATATGGGACTGGTATTCACTCCCTAAATTCCAATTTTTTTGGACTTTAAGTTATCCTGTACCTACATATCATTCCTATGGTGTTGGGAGAGCACTTATTTGACATTTGTTGTATTGAGCAAGTGCCTATCTATTCTTGATTCGGTACATTCAGTGTTTATTCACTATTTAAGGGCATCTGCTATCACCACCTGCAAAAGGCAGTTATCACTAATATTTATGATTTACACATATACCTGTTTTTAGGCTCCGCAATATTGCTTTGTAAACTGGTACAGAAATACCTAATATATTCAAGATGGATTAGAAGGGGTTAGTTTTAATGTTTAATCCATGCAGGACCCCTTTCCCCAAAAGCACATACTCTTGTCTTCTTTGCTGCCATATCCCTTTGGTTAGCCACACCGGAAATAGACAGCACCCTGTACTGTTGGGTATGCAGGCACATGTGACTTGCTCATTGTGATAGCACTTGTGCTTGATTGGCCAAGTGCTTTTTCGATGTGGTGAGTGAGTCGTCCACCACCACAACAAGAAGGGAAGGTATGTATGAGCTCTGAGGGATGGGAATATTAAAGTGAACCCGTTGCTTTTCCCAAAAGCCCAGGTTCCCTTTAAGTATAGGGGCTTAGGCTAAGGTTTGTTTTGGCATGAGGATTAGGGGGTTAGTTGCTAGGTTGTGGTTTAGGGTAAAGGTAAAGCTACATCATATTCTCACATTTCTGATTAGCATCCTAAAAGCTTGCCCCTTAAAGCATAGAATGTTAAGTTGACGTGCTTTGAGCTCCAAAGATGCTTTTTCACTTTATGTATATTCTTTCCTTTTCGATGAAAACTTCAAATGACAACCTCATTCCTTTTTGTCTTAGGAGTCAGATGCAGACACTGAACCTTACGATGATGAGGAGTTTGAAGGTTATGAAGATAAGATTGATGCAGGCAGTCCCAGCAAGAACAAGGACCCTATCACCATTGTGGATGTAAGGATAACTAATCCTATTTCCTAAATATATAAAATATGGATGAGAATTTTCTACTTATGTTACGTATATTTCCACTAGGTCCCTGCTCACCTACAGAACAGCTGGGAGAGCTATTATATGGAAATCCTTATGGTCACTGGCCTCTTGGCCTATATCATGAACTACATTATCGGCAAAAACAAGAACAGCCGCCTTGCACATGCTTGGTTTAACTCCCACAGAGAGCTCTTGGAGAGCAACTTCTCTCTCGTAGGTGAGTTTACCTGTGGGGCATAACGTGCATCTGTTGATAGGAAGGAGTGTATTTACTTGCAAAATATGCAGCTAGCAGATGGAGCTGTCTAGAAAAAAGCTATTAACCACTTGCTAACCGCGCTATAGCCAAATGATGGTTTCAGCGCGGTTGTCCAGTTCTGGGAGGGTGTCATATGATGTCCTCCCAGAACGCGCCCTCCCGCACGCCACCTGGGGCGTGCTCCCGGCGATCTCCATGATCGCTGTGTCCTATGGACACAGCTGATTCTGTGATGTGGTAAGAGGCCAATCACAGCCGCCTTTTACCACGTGATCAGCTGTGTCCAATGGCACAGCAGATCACCGGGTAAATGCAGTTGCCGGTTATCGGCTGCACTTTCCTCACGCTGTCACAGCGCGAGTAAAGTACTGCCGATAACCGGCAATTGCCAGAGGCTGGATCGGCACTGATCATCAGGGGCACTGATGATTAGTGCCCAGCAGTGTCGCCCACAAGTGCCTAGTAGTGCCACTCACCTGTGCCTAGTAGTGCCACCACCTGTGCCCCCCATCAGTGCTACCCAGCAGTGCCACCCATAAGTGCCCAGCAGTACCACCCATCAGTGCCGCATATGAGTGCCCTTCATTGTTGCTTATCCGTGCCAGCTCATCAGTGCCGCCTATCCGTTCCAGCTCATCAGTGCCACCTATCCGTGCCAGCTCATCAGTGCCGCCTATCCGTGCCACCTATCAGTGCCCATCAGTGTTACCTATCAGTGCAGCCTCCTCAACGCACATAAGTGAAGGAGAAAAATTACCTGTTTGCAAAATTTTAAAATAGAAACAAAGAAAAAACTTTTTTTTTTTTTTTTTTTTTTTTTGCTCTTTTGTTTGTTTATAGCACAAAAAATAAAACCCCCAGCGGTGAGTAAATACCACCAAAAGAAAGCTCTGTGTGAAAAAATGATAAAAATTTCATATGGGTGCAGTGTTGCATGACTGCGCAATTGGCATTCAAAGTGTGATAGTGCTGAAAATTGGCCTGGGCAGGAAGGGGGTATAAATGTCCAGTAGGCAAGTGGTTAAAGGTTAAAAAAAAAATAAAAAAATTTGAGTTGGTTTTGACACAACAACATTGTTAGATTTACAGAGCCAGCATTATCAATTAAACCATTCACTTTCTTGTTGCAGGAGATGATGGGACAAGCAAAGAAGCAGTGAGCACAGGGAAACTGAACCAGGAGAATGAGCACATTTACAACCTCTGGTGTTCAGGACGCCTGTGCTGTGAGGGCATGCTGATTCAGCTTAAGGTGCTGTCATTGTCTGTGTTTTGTCTTTATACCAAAGTAATATGCACAGCCTGTATTATTTAGGGCTAGCAGACTGGATCTCTCCTGATTGGATACAAATTAATTGTACAGATTAGGTTTGTACTCATATTACATATTTATGGTAAATCTAAACTGGATTGTACAGTCAGATTTGTAACATGTATGGTGACCTTTAGGCTTTCCATACACTATACAAACTGAGTGTACAATCTCTACAGTTTCCTTTTTATATTTACCAAAACTATCTAATAGGAGGACACACCTGAACAGTCCATGCAAATAGTATCAAATCAAGGGGGCCCCCGAACTATATAGTTCATACTAGATCTAAAAAAGATTATACAGATTGTATGGTGAGTCTTAGAGGTCATACACGTATCGATCTAATTGATTTGATTCTTCACTGGATTGGATAAAACGATCCAGTCTATGAACTATCAAAAAGAATCTGTCATCGATCGATTTCAAGCAAAACCCATTGATTTTTTAAAAATGATTCTGTTTGGCCTGGACAGAAAATCTGATCGCAGGACAGCAGATAAATTGATATGATCAAAGAAGTTTCTATAAAATAAATTTGATGTAATCAACATCTATTATATCGTGCCAAATGCAGCTTATGTATAAAGAAGCTGCCACTATATATATAAACCCCAAAAAAACTTTTTTAAATTAAAACCGTAAATGAATAAAGTGTTTAAAGTGGCGCCACTTTTGGTGTTTTGATTTTTTTAAAAATTGATAAGAGCGTTCAAATAGTAATAAAGGGGCAGGTCTCTAGGTAACGTCACTGACCGAACATGGACATGTCAATTTTTGGTCAATGGAGTCATTCCAATGGGATTGAGTTGGTATCTGGGAGCACCTTACTGTTCAAGGGGATTTGAGATAATGATAAGCCCACTGCCCGCAGACCCCCACAAACACATGACCAGGGGCCCTTATTCCCTTCAGTGGGGTAGGGGGGGACAAGGAAAAAACAATCTCCTAGTTAAGGGCTTGTAAACTGGTATCCTGCTTGTCTGTCTCTCCCCACCCACCCCTGCCTCCACCTCCTTTCGGGCCTGGTAGACTGCATGCTGGGATAAGGGTCTTCACACTATCAGATGTGGAGAGGCCTCACTGATTTTTATGCCTTCCTTTATTATTGTTATGAAACTGGCAAAGTTAAGCTCCTCCAGTACAGCCAGAGGGGGCTCCCTAGCCCTTGCTTACAGACCGAAAAAATACAGCGTCCCCTCTATTAGAAGCAGCTGTAAGTCAGCAGCCATGCAAATCATATTGAAATGCTGATTTACTGCTTGTTATAAATATCTAAATTCTTGAAAGTCCATAGCCTTGACAGAGACCCCCAGATGCAGACTAGGCAGATGTCATGTTTGACAGCAATATTCTGTGAGCATTAGAATGCAATCTAGTTGGCTGTAGAAAGGGTTTCACAGCATTGTTTGCATTATTATAGAAATCCTTTATTTCTGATGAAGGTAATCTTTACAAAAGATCACATACCTTTCATAGGGAAGTTCCATTTTTTTTTAAGTTTCATTTGAAGGGTATGTCCCAGTTCTTTGCTACTCTTGGGTAATGGTATTAAAAGCTTCTTCCTGTTTTCCAGTTTTTGAAACGCCAGGATCTGTTGAATGTGTTGGCTCGTATGATGCGTCCAGCTTGTGATCAAGTGGTATGTGTTGTTTTTTTTCAGAAACTTTTCTCTGTACTGCCTCTCAATAACTCTTTATGGAGAATCGAATTCCCGTATAATGATCTCCAGGCTTATTGTTTTCAGTTTTCTGCATCTGGAAAGCATCCCAGATCTGTAGTTTTGTGGCGTGTTTTTCAAACCGTATTTTCTCTTGTCTCTCTATCACTCCCAAGCAAGTAAAAGTGACAATGAATGATGAGGATATGGATACATATGTGTTTGCCGTCGGCACTCGGAAGACCCTGGCGCGGCTGCAGAAAGAGATGCAGGACTTGGTAAGGTTCCCATACTTTGGTAGCTGATGAACCATGACTGTGATATAAACACCCTAACAGGTCTGTTTTCTTCTTTGTAGAGTGAGTTCTGCAGTGATAAACCCAAGTCTGCAGCCAAGCTGGGGCTCCCGGATTCTCTGGCTATTTTGTCCGAGATGGGGGAGGTGACAGACGGTGTCCTGGACACCAAGGTGGGAAATGAAAACTCTTCCTCTTTATGGCTCTAGCCCAGTTGCCTTTAGCCAAACTACTACATGTGCTCTCTCTTTCTCCCACAGATGGTTCACTTTCTAACACACTACGCTGATAAGATTGAATCCATCCAATTCTCGGACCAATTTTCTGGTCCAAAGCTTATGCAAGAGTAAGTAATCCAAATAGCTGTTTTTGTGTGAGTGATGTCATGGCTTTTTAGTGCAGAGGTGCTTTGCCCTCATCTATTAAGGCAGGATTAATATTATTATACAGTATTTATAATGCGCCAATAGTTCGCTCAGTGCTGTACATTACAATGGGGGACAGAACAATAACAATACAATACAATGCAAAACATGAGGAGATCAAGGGCCCTGCTCTTTCAAGCTTACAATCTAGGAGTGAGGGGATGGTGGCACAGGAGGAGAAAGCTGTGGGGGATGGAGTGGTAGGAAGAGTATAGTTGCAGTATTAAGGGTAACTCCGCATTTGCTGTTAAAAATTTATATTGCTGGTTCAATTTGTAGCCAGCTATGATTTGAAAGAACTGGCAAAATCTCCAATATGGCTTCCTTGTGTGTGGAGGCATTCTGCATACTGTTTGTGTCCTTTCCTGCCCATATGATAGGCTCACTGCTCTTACCAGCACTTTCTCTTATTCTAACACTGGGACTGAACATGTGACTATAATAGGAAGACCCACGTAGCACTGTAGAATATAGGAAATGAATAGAATCCACATGTATGTTTCGGATCAAGTGGTAGCAGGTAGGACTGTGCAATAAACTTTGCTAAATAGCCATGCAACTGGCCATGAAGGTTTTTCTCAGTGAAGGTACACTAATCAAAACTGGCATCAATTATGGCTCGAATGAGTCCTCTAAAGACCTCCTTTATCTCTGGGACACTAGCACCATCTCCTCCATCATCCCATCTACACACTTATGGGGTTTTAGTTCTGCTGTAGCCTATAGGGCCTTACTCTGCTTGCTGCGTGCATATTATTGTAAGGGAAGAGTAAAAAAGTCATCTGGTGTAAGTTAGGGTGTGGATGCCATCATCTCATACCTTGGATCAGGGCTTAAAATTTCAAGTCCTGAGCTACTAGCCAGGGCTTAAGAGTTACTCGCCACCAACAAACACACACAAACAGACACCTGTACACACACACACACAGACATGTACATACACACACACACAGAGACACGTACACACGCACAGAGACACTTGTACACACACATACAGACACATGTATACACACACAGGCACGTACAGACATGCATACACACAGATACATGTACATACACAGAAATACACATCTTCTCTCTCTCTTCCCTCTCTCTCTCTCTCCTCCCCTTCTCTCTCTTCCTTTCTTACATCGTATGGGGCTGCGCACAAACACCTTCTCCAAGGGCTGCCCCATACGATCCGTCAGTGTAGGGAGGGAGGGAGATCCCACAGAGCACAGCACAGCTCACCTGCTCCGGGCATATTCCTCTCCGACACTTCTCCTCTCCCTGCTCCAGGCTGTTACCTGGTCAGTCCCGGCTCATCAACTGCTGGAGGGAGAGGTACAGGAGCATCGCTCTGCAAATACCCTCCCCCGCATCGATTCTCCTGCTGTCAGGGCCACTGCAAGGGTACCGGTGCGACCCCTCTGCTGGCGGCCCTGCGTGGCTTTGTCCGCTGCTGCCCAAAAGGTCCCTTCTTCCGCGGGGCGGTGCCACCCCTCTAAAAATTGCCGCCCTAGGCAAACGCCTTGTTTACCTCGTGGTAGATACGCCCCTGCCCTGGGGGACACACTCGCCCCCACCATAATTTCCACTCGCCATTGGCGAGCAGACGAGTGGAAATTTCAAGCCCTGCCTTAGATTGTACACCCCTTGAGGGTTAAGGACTGATGTGAATGTACAAATATATATGTAAAGCGCTGTGTAAATTGACGGCGCTATATAAGTACCTGTAGTAGTAGTAATAATAATCCCTATTTTTCTAACAGAGGGATTTGTACCTTACATTTGGTGGGATTTTTTTAAAGCAGCCTTAGAATATATAAACCAAACCATTTTTTAAAAGAAGATTTGACATTTTATTTGACACATCAATACATATTTCCCCAATAGAGTATAACAATTCTTGACAACATATTTGCTTGAGAATATTAGCAATTGTTGGATTGGAAAATTAATGGTATCTCTTGAAGCTTATTTTCATCTTGCAACCTCAACTGAGGGAACTACAAGTGCATTCAGCCTATATTAACGCGTTTCGAATACTTTAGTGCAGATTCTTCCTCAGGGAAAGGATACTGCTCTAAAACAATAATTATCAATAGTTAAACCTTTTATACATATTATTTATGATCCAAGAATTGAGAAACCAACTTTACAAATTTTACATACCACCATTTGCAGTTTGAACAATTTTAGTGGTATGTAAAATTTGTAAAGTTGGTTGGCCCTAGTATATGTATGAATGTGAGTTAGGGACCTTAGATTGTACGCCCCTTGAGGGTTAGGGACTGATGTGAATGTACAATATATATGTAAAGTGCTGTGTAAATTGAAGGCGCTATATACGTACCTGAAATAAATAAATATTTGTTGTATCAGAGATTAAACATCATTGTCTGCCATGTAAATAATGGGCCTGTGACTCTAGATCCTCATGGAAAAATTGTTGTTTTGTGGTCTCATACCATCCTATATGTTACAGGGAGGGGCAGCCACTCAAACTGCCAGAGACTAAGAAGACTCTGTTGTTTACATTTAATGGTAAGTGGTGATTTGGTCTATAAATGCATGGTATGGTAGATAACATTGTAAGACTGTACTGGAGTAAACCTTCGTCCTTCCTGACAGTGCCTGGAGGAGGAAACGCATCTGTTAAAGATATGGAGTCCCTTCTGCCACTAATGAACATGGTCATGTACAGCGTTGACAAAGTAAAAAAGTTCCGTTTGAACAGAGAGGTAAGTGGATGCATGTTACATCTACTTAAGACTCCGAGTAGTTTTTTTTATAAATCTATATATATTTATATTAGTAATGGCGATCAACTTATAGCGGGACTGCGGTGGGCATTCTGACACTGGATGGGAACTGACTAACTGCCACTGACATCCCCAGTGACACTAATACAGTGTACTGATGTACTAATGGCACTGGACAGGAAGAGGTTAACGTGGGGCGATCAAAAGGTTAACTCTGGGCTGTTTTACTGTGTTGTCTGTGTGTGCTTTACTATGTAAGCATACTGCTTTGTATTGATCTGCTGTGCAGAGCAATACAAAGTAGCATGCTGGTGCTGACAGAGGAGGGATCTGTATTGTTTACATACAGACCTCTCCCCTCTCAGTGTTCCTCGGTGATCGCCGGGTGCTGGCGGGGAATCTGTGATCAGTTCTAATAAAAAGCACTGTTACTGTACTAATGACACTGAGCAGGAAGGGGTTATTATCTGGAAATATCAAAAGATTAACTGTGTGCCAGGGAGTGTTACTACTGTGTGGTGTTTTACTAAGCGATGTGCTGGCTTTTAGTCTCTGCTTTGTGGGGAGATAAAAACTGTCACTTTCCCTTGACAGAAGAGAGATCTGTGTTGTTTACATGCACATATCTCTCTCCTGTCACTTGCTCCGCCAATCGGCATGTCCCAGTCATGAATCGCCGGGTGGGACCCAGTGATTGATATGTAAGGGATCCAATGCACGTGTGCGCCCCCTACACAGAAAAGCAGAATTATGTATTTATACATGTTTCTGCACAGAGTGGCCACCCCGTAGTAGTAGTAGTAGTAGTAAAGCTACATGGGCCAGCCAGGAAGTGGTTAAAGTGCAACTAAAGACAAAACTTTTTTTTTTTTTTTAAGTTTTGGATAGAGTGGAGAGGGATTAGAACCCCCTGTTGGGGTTTTATTGCCGTCTGCTTCCCTGTTAGGGAGATTCACCCTCTCTGTTTGTCCTGTTTTACCTCTATCATCGAAAGGGAAAATAAAAAATTCCCAAATTTTGGGTTGACATCAGAACACTAAGGTGATATCCTTCAATGGGGGCACTAAAAATGGTGACACACTGAGATTCCCTCACTTTTGAGGGATTTCTTTTCATTTCCTAGATTGTAAGCTCGAAAGAGCAGGGCCCTCGAACCCCTCGTGTAGTGTATTGTTACTGTCTTGTCTCATGTTCTGTCCCCCTTGCTACTGTACAGCGCTGAGCATACCCTTTGGCGCTATATAAATACTGTATAATAATAATTTCCTGTTTTGGCTATGGTACAGGAAGTGAAGGGATATCTCCCCAATGGGACACTGATGGCAAAAACAAAATAACCTGACAGGTTATACCCCTCCTGCCTCCTTACTAGATTCAAAATGGGGAAAAAAACTATTGCTTTTAGTGCTACTGTAAGTCTCTCTTTTGTACACCTTTCTTTTCTTTTTACAAATTTTACAAGAGTTTTTGACCATTTCCTTCTCTATTCAAAGGAATGAAAATATTAAGAGGAGTTTACTAAGACTGGAGCAGCCAGAATCTGGAACAGTTGTGCATGGAAACCAATCGGTCTCAACTTCCATTTTCAAAGTTGATCTGAACAAGCTGAATATAGGAGCTGATTGGTTCTTATGCACAGCTGCTCCATATTCTGTCTCAGTTTTAGTCAATTCCCTCCTTTTCAACGATCTGTCTGGAGTTGTGCCTGTAATCACTCTCTGAGCTGCTCATCCCTGCTACCCTTTATGAATATTTTGTACTTTGACGGCAGGGCAAACAGAAAGCTGATAAGAACCGTGCCCGCGTGGAAGAGAACTTCTTGAAGCTAACACACGTGCAGCGCCAGGAAGCAGCCCAGAGCCGACGGGAGGAGAAGAAACGTGCAGAAAAGGAGCGCATCATGAATGAGGAAGATCCTGATAAACAGCGTCGGCTGGAAGTAAGCACATTCTATAGGAGACAAACTGCAGGAGAAAGAACAGTTCATGCACAATCCTGCTTTCCTCTTATAATGCATAGTTTAGTAAGGGGGAGTTCACAAAAGGCTTAACGCTGGTTATTTTTCTTACTTAGGAAGCCGCCCAGCGCCGTGAGCAGAAGAAGTTAGAAAAGAAACAAATGAAGATGAAGCAGATCAAAGTGAAGGCCATGTAAAATAAATATGCTGCTTTCAACCCAGTCCTTTATCATCCCTCCACCTCCCCTTCACCTGCAGGGGAACAGAGAAGCTTCGTCTAGCAGCCGTGCTTCCTGCCAGTGCAGAGATATCCCTTTTGTTAAAGAAAAGGTAGTGTCATCTGAGTTTCCACATACATGCTGCCAGATAACCCACGTGATTACTTACAGACATGTCAAGCGTGTCTCTCTGCTTGTGTTTTTATACTAAGGTCAGGAAAATTCTCCATTGTGAACTCTGAGTTAAAGCCCAAGTCCAGCCAAATGTATTTTACGTTTCGGCTGGCTTGTAACCATCAGTTGGGGGGAGATTCCTTCTATTTGTCCTCTGGACACTTTTCTGTGAGACAGAAAGTGGTGGAAAATCAAAATTTACTTTTAATTATTTAAGAGAAGTTGCCAACTTTCAGTTGCTTTCCCCATTTAGGAAATTTCTGCTTCACTTCCTGTGTATTTGACAGGTGTCACTCAGACCAGGAAGTGAGGAGGAATCTCCTAGGCAGCATTAAAACACATTTTCTAGTAGAATAAGGTCTAGTCAGATGCCAGCAGTAGAATCCCCAAGGAGAGGTTTCCACTTACCCTTGCTCATCAAGAACTCTGCAGAATGTTGCTGGTTCACCTAGCGAGGGAGAGGCTCATTAGTAAAAGTTAAGTGGTCTGTTGGCTTGCGTGACAACAGCCACAGATATTGAAACACTATCAGGATTTTATTGCTGTCTATATCTCCACTGTGTGGGATCTCACCCCATTTCCTGTCCAGGTGATGGGTGTTAGAACAGGAAGTGGGGAGGGAAGCACAGCAGGGATGCTGACAGCTTACATCAACCCTGACAGTGGTTCTAACCCCCCCCCCCCCTCCCTGCTTTGGTTGGACTAGGGCTTTTTTAACCATTTGTTCACATAACGTGCTCTTATAAATATGCATATTCACATGAGACCTGTGACGGCGCTAAAACGAACTAAAAGTGTGGATAAAATAATCATGGAACCAGAAGCGCAGTGCTGTAATGGTTAGCCGTCAATCTTTATGGCTGAGGCTGGTTTTATATAAGTGACAGCGCACCACTGCTCCCAGAATACCATTACATCAAGAACCCAATTATTTTCTGGCTTTTCTGCTACCCTGCACTATTGAAGGGATTCAGGAAATTCTGTTTTTAATACTTATCTATGCTCCCCTTTTTTTCAGTTCCATAATAACCTCCCCCCATCCTGGATTTTATAGATATAATATAAAAGTATTTAAGTTATTGCAAAAATTATTTCTGAAAGCTGTATAAAACAAAATAAAAGTAGTATTATTGGTAGGGTGCCCACCAAAAGGGAGGCAGTAGAGAGGCCATGTGCTTGGATTACAAAGGTCTTTAAAGAGAAATGGTCCTTATAACAGATATAAAGGACAGTCCACAAGAGCATGTGGAAATCTCATTACCATGCGTTTTTCTTTTTTTTTTTCTTTTGATTGAGAAATAGATTTTTCAAACCATTGAAAGCATTGCCATGCTCTTTGGATACGCTTACAGCACACGTTATATTTTGATTTTTTTGGGGGGCTTTATTTTTTATTTGTAAAGGATAATTTGTTGTTGCACAGGTTCTTGCGCTCTAAAATACCTCTAGCGTCATATCGGTGTTTACAGGAGAATTTTAATTGGATATTGCTGAGGAGAGAAGGGCAAGGAAACATAAGTCATTCTAAAATAAGCCTTTCAGGTATTAAATGTCCCTTTCACGTGAAAGAGTGCAAAATCCACACCTAGAACTATATTTCTTTTTCATCCTCTGAGGAACAATGCTAAGTCATTCACCTCCGGGTTATATTGCTGCCTACAGCAGGATTGGACACGGGCAAATAAGTTACTGTAGGCCAGCTCAGGGCAGGCCTTCAGCTCTTCTGTGAGAGAGACTAAACTTTTTTGGAAATCTCTTTTTTGCTACTTTTTTTTATTGGCCTGCTGTTTCCCAGATTTGCAAGGCTACCAACATGGTCCTCTGTTCAAATGGTTTGCAAGAGGGATGCTGGGACTATATCTGATGCCATCTTTAGCATCTCTTTAAGCTGCAGAGTGCCCCCAGTTCTCTGTTGTTTTCATGGACCTGTTAGCATTTGTTTGCTGTGTTACCCACCCCATGGACAAGAAGGAAAGGGGGATTTTTTTTTTACTCACATATGGGTAGTAAGAGGGGTTATGCTGGACTGGCTGACTTTTTTTTTTTTTTTTTTTTTTAATTTCCCCCCCCAAAAAAATCTTGTTTAAAGTGTTACTAAACCCACAACAGTAAAATCAGCCTGTATATGCAGTAAAGCATGCTTGCTATACTTACTGTGGAACCAAAGGGATTAATCCTCTGCATTGTTTAAAAATGCTGTTTGATTCTGACTTCTCTGATCCTCCCCTTCTTCCAGTGTCCCCCTCTTATCGGGGGGAGAGTGGATATAGGGGATGCGGGGTCCGGGGGGAGAGCGGATATAGTGAATGCGGGGTCCGGGTGGATATAGTGAATGCGGGGCTCCCGGGGGCGAGGGAGAGTGGATATAGTGAATGCGGGGTCCGGGGGAGAGCGGATATATGAATGCGGGGTCCGGGGGAGAGCGATATAGTGAATGCGGGGTCCGGGGGAGAGTGGATATAGTGAATGCGGGGTCCGGGGGAGAGCGGATATAGTGAATGCGGGGTCCGGGGGAGAGGGGAGAGCGGATATAGTGAATGCGGGGGTCCGGGGGAGAGCGGATATAGTGAATGCGAGGTCCGGGGGAGAGCGGATATAGTGAATGGGGTCCGGGGGAGAGCGGATATAGGATAGTTCGGGGGAGAGTGATATATGCGGGGGGGGTCCGGGGGAGAGCGGATATAGTGAATGCGGGGTCCGGATATAGTGAATGCGCGGGGTCCGGGGGAGAGCGGATATAGTGAATGCGGGGGGCTCCGGGGAGAGCGGATATAGTGAATGCGAGGTCCGGGGGAGAGCGGATATAGTGAATGCGAGGTCCGGGGGAGAGCGGATATAGTGAATGCGGGGCCCGGGGAGAGCGGATATAGTGAATGCAGAGTTCGGGGGAGAGCGGATATAGTGAATGCGGGGTCCGGGGGAGAGCGGATATAGTGAATGCGGGGTCCGGGGGAGAGCGGATATAGTGAATGCGGGGTCCGGGGGAGAGCGCATATAGTGAATGCGGGGTCCGGGGGGAGAGCGCATATAGCGAATGTGGGGTCCGGGGGAGAGCGCATATAGCGAATGCGGGGTCCGGGGGAGAGCGCATATAGCGAATGCGGGGTCCGGGGGAGAGCGCATATAGCGAATGCGGGGTCCGGGGGAGAGCGGATATAGCGAATGCGGGGTCCGGGGGAGAGCGGATATAGCGAATGCGGGGTCCGGGGGAGAGCGGATATAGCGAATGCGGGGTCCGGGGGAGAGCGGATATAGCGAATGCGGGGTCCGGGGGAGAGCGGATATAGTGAATGCCGGGTCCGGGTTTAGTAACACTTTAATGTTTCTGAGAAGAACATTTTAGCAATTGGACAGGCACTTGTGTTTTCAGGAGATGGGAAGAAGGAGATTGAGCTACAGGAAAAAAAACTTGACGAATACAATAACCTGAAACCTGTTTTTATCTGACCGCTCTTCTCTGTAGTTATTCTGTTCAGAACATCAGTGCTGTGAAGGCATCAAAACACCTACCTTCACTACTAAAACAGGCATACAAAGAGATGATCAAGTTTATTGCCTTTTTAAAGTATAACTATAGACAAGACTTTATTTTTTAGTTTTGGACAGAACGGAGAGGGATTAGAACACCAGGGATTTCCTCTTACTTCCTGTTTTGGTTATTGAGCAGGAAGCGAAGGGAAATATCTCCAATGGGGCACAGATGGGAAAAACAAACCTGACAGAGGTTAAAACCCTAAGTTCTAAATTGAAAAAAAAGTGTTGCTTTTAGTTTTGCTTTAAAGTAAATTGAAAGATATATGAAGGCTTCCTATGCCTACCATTGCTTGTTGCCTGGTTTCTGGTCCTTGATTCAGAAATGTAGAACAAGCATGCAGCAAATTTGTTCAGAGTTAAAGCAAAATTCCTGCTTTACCTTTTTCCTCTAGAAAATGATGATGCCAATGGATCCACACGACAGTCAGGCAGCTGGAGGAGCCACCATTAGCACCGTCTATGTTTTTCAGTATAGTTTTCCTTTAAAGTTCCCCTGGGGCCACTGATTCTTGGACCTAAAAATATTAAGAATGCAGTTTATCCTAAGTGCTGTGCTCCTTCTAGAATGACACCAGTAGTCTGTAGGTTTCATGCTGTAATCTCAGCTTCTTGGTCTCAGTAAGGCCTCTAACCTGGCTTTTTTTTTTTTTTTTTTTTTTAAAGTGTGGCTCCATCACAATGTGCTGCACATCAGTGGAGAAAGTATTTTAGACACCACTCCATTAACTACAGGTCTCACATGGATATAATCCTATTCAATGGATGAAGACTAAATTCTTACCAACTAACACTAATAAAAAAAAAAAAAAATCACAATGTCAGAAGCTATGCAAAATAGATTAATTTTAAAGTTGTAAATTGGTAATCTTTATGAAGCCAAGTCTTGAAGCTATTATTTCTAATATACTGGCCAGTAGTTAGGTGATTTACACATTCTGTTTGTATAAATCAGGGCTACACTTCTCAATTATCACTCGCTGCTTGTTGGACAGGACAAAGACAATGCATTCGCCCCTGCAGCACCCCTGCTGGTGAAATCCAGTATGGCATCTCAGTTGCACTGCAGTGGGGCTTTTATGAGCAGTGCCATTGTTAGGTAGACAAACTAAGACTTCCAATATAAAGAGCAACAGAAGTAAATCTGTTTGTTTTTTTTGACAAGCTAGGCAGATGGTAGCTGGGCTATTAAAGGGTCTAATTTTGGGCTCCATTTTTTTTAGTTAATGTAGAACATTAATTTAATACTTGTTATTTGTTGCTATAAGTTTCAA